CCCCCAAAACCCCAAAACCCCAAAACCCCAGTGGAACAATGAGTAGTTGAATAACTTTTGAGTATTACTAATTATTGGGATTTTCATCTGTTTTTCTTCTTGCTCTTCTTCAGCCCCATAATGAACTTCTTCATTCATTTATCGTTAATGTCTATATTTAGAATGGTTTAGTCGGATTTAGAGATTATGGGGAGCTCACCTTGTAAACACCTCTTTTGGACATAGGTGAAAGGATGGATTTTTGATGAACTCACTTTCCCATCAGATGCATCTAGAAGGTAAGGATGGGCATACCATAGCTAGCAATGTACTTGTCAATGGCTCTACCCCCTCTTGTCATTTCGGAGTTTCTCCCTCTCTTTTTAGTTTTAATGTTTACCTTCTGGATATTGCTAGATAGTAGAGGAAGAGATGGATGCTCTGATTTTTTAAACTCATTTTTAAATTCTTTTGCTGCTCTAATATGAAAGTGACGTCCTTCTTGAGAATTCTTTAAAGCATGTCTACTCTTTTTAATGTTTTTAGGAGAGCTCTTTTTGGTTAGTTGAGTGCTGCGTTGTGAATATAAATTAATATTCATCTTCATTTGATCAACAGAAGATTTAGCTGTAGAGATAGATGGAAACATGGGTTTTCTAGAATTTTTCAATTAACATACCTCTTTTTGCTTTTCTTGCCTTTATTTTGGTATGACTTTTGGCTGGGACAACTTCTCTAGATGACCATAATTGACCTCTCTTCTGATCTCATTCTATAGGAATAATTTTGTTAGGTACTTTCTCTGGTCATTCACTATGCTGTCTTCTGTCTACTCCACATTTACATCCTTCTGCTGCTATCTACATGATGAGAGTCAAGGCCTACCTTCTTGAGATCTCCATTGTCAAAACAGCCACTACCTAAATTTTTGGGCTCATCTTTCTTCCTAATTTCAGGCATTGACTGAATATGATTGTTCTGTGTGGGAAGTAGCTTAATCGTACTGCAATGGGATGGATCTTGGACATCCTTGCTTTTTGTGGCTTTAGCCAAGCCAGGCAACTTGCCCTTTGAAGGAGAAGATTTTGTTGAAGAGAGCGATATTGATTTTTGATGACGCTTATTTGGACCTAAGGGGTTAGCCTTTGGATACTTTTTGGATTTTTTGGAATTTTTGGGTTTTTTGGAGTTCATTATTTGGCTTAGGAAGGGAATTTTGGCTGGAGGTTAGAGGGGTGAGGTACTGCTGCTTTTGTTGGAGCGGGAGTTGTTTTTAAGGTCAATGCTGCTTTTGTTAGACATTAAGGAGCTATATTTGTGATAGGTAGTAGATACCTTGTAGTCTTTCGAATCATACTTCCAAATTTTGTTTCTAAATTTATATAATCATATCCTGTAAATCCTTACTCCTACTCTTATTCTTACTATTCCTTCTAGAATACTGTAAGGATTCTTGTGGCTTCTCATAATCAACATATGCTATACTATTTTTCATCTGGTTACCTCTTATCTTCTCAGTTAGTCTATTCAATGTATGCCAGAATGGAGTGCGTCCGGCTTTCTTTGCTCTATATGAAAAATATTTTTGAAGCCCTTAATTGTAACAATGTCTCAAACCATAATTTTCAAATTATAGTTTAGCTTACTCAGTGCTTTGGTTTCTATCTATTTTCTTAACTTCTTCGTCCATTTTTAATTTTCAATTACTAAATCCTAAATCGGGGTTTTGGGGTTTTGGGGTTTTGGGGTTTTGGGG